GACCCTGCCCCAGCCCTCCAGGCTATTGCCACCTAATTGGCACTGTAACTGTGTCTTTAAGAGACCATTCTATCATTCTATCAAGCCAGGTGCTTCAGGATGGTGGAGAACATGGTAGGACCAGTGGATTCCATGACCATGGGTCCATTGTCGCACTTCTTTGGCTGTGAAGTGAGTTCCCTGGTCAGAAGCGATGTTGCGTGGAATACCATGATGGTGGATAAGGCATTCTGTAAGTCCCTGGATAGTAGTTTTGGCAGAAGCATTACATTCAGGAAAGGCAAATCCATAACCAGAATAAGTGTCTGTTCCTGCAAGGACAAAATGCTGTCCCCTCCAAGATGGAAGTGGTCCAATGTAGTCAACCTGCCACCAGGTTGCAGGCTGGTCGCCACGGGGAACAGTGCCATATTGGGGGCTCAATGTTGGTCTCTGCTGTTGGCAGATCTGGAACTCAGCAGCAGCTGTAGCCAGGTCAGCTTTCATGAGTGGGAGTTCATGCTGTCGAGCCTATGCATAACCTCCATCTCTGCCACTATGGCCACTTGTTCATGGGCCTGCTAAGCAATGACAGGGATAACTGAAGAAAGAGGCTGACAATCCACAGAGCGGGTCATCCGATCTACTTGATTATTGAATTCACCTTTTGCTGAAGCCACTTTTTGATGAGCATTTACATGAGACACAAGTATGTTCACATCCTTTGCCTATTTGGAGACACCTATCCACATGCTTCTTCCCCAAATGTCTTTCTCACCAATTTTCCAATTGTGCTTCTTCCAAGTCCCTGACCACCCAGCCAAACCATTGGCTACAGCCCATGAATCAGTATATAATCATACTTCTGACCATTTTATACATGACCATGTGCACTGCCCTCGAAGTTCTGCCCACTGTGAAGACTTTCCTTCCCCAGTGTCCTTCAGGGTTGTTCCAGAAATTGGCTGTAATGCTGCAGCTGTCCACTTCTGAGTATTGCCTGCATAGCATGCAGAACCATCTGTAAACCAAGCCCTAGTCTTCTCTTCCTCAGTCAACTGATTGTAGGGCACACCCCATGAAGCCATAGGTGCATACTTGAGAACAGGAGGCATCGTAACAGGATTAGGAACCATAGGCATTTGGGCAACTTCTTCATGTAACTTGCTTGTGCCCTCCGGGCCTGCTCAGGCCCAGTCACGTATATACCATTTCCATTTGATAATGGATTGTTGCTGTGCATGGCCTGCTTTATGGCTTGGGGGGTTAAATAACACCTGGCTCATGATGGGCAGCTCCAGTTGCATGGTGACTTGGTGGTCCATTGTCAAACGTTCAGTTTCCACTAAGGCCCAATAGCAGGCTAAGAGCTGTCTCTTGAATGGAGAATAGTTGTCTGCAGATGAAGGAAAAGCCTTACTCCAAAATCCCAATGGCCTCCACTGTGATTCCCCTATGGGGGCCTGCCAGAGACTCCAAACAGCATCTTTATCTGTCACTGATACCTCAAGCACCATTGGGTCTGCTGGATGATATGGCCCAAGGGGCAGAGCAGCTTGTACAGCAGCCTGGATCTGTTGAAGGGCCCTCTCCTGTTCCAGGCCCCACTCAAAGGTAGTTGCCTTCTGAGTCATTTGATATATGGGGTGTAGTAATACACCCAGATGAGGAATGTGCTGCCTCCAGAATCCAAACAGGCCCACCAAGAGTTGTGCTTCTTTCTTGGTGTAGGGAGGGGCCAAGTGCAACAACTTATTCTTCACCTTAGAAGGAATGTCTCTGCATGCTCCACACCACTGAACTCCTAGAAATTTCACTGAGGTAGACGGCCCTTGAATTTTGGTTGGATTAATTCCCATCCTCTCATGCCCATGTGCTTAACCAAGAAGTACAGACTGTCTATTACCTCCTGCTCACTGGATCCAATCAGCATAACATCATCAATATAGTGGACCAGTGTGATATTTTGTGGAAGAGTCAGGCAATCAAGGTCCCTTTGAACCAAGTTATGGCACAATGCTAGAGAGTTAATATACCTTTGAGGCAGGACAGTAAAGGTATACTGTTGGCCTTGCTGGCTGAAAGCAAATTGCTTCTGGTGGTCCTTATGAACTGGTATTGAGAAGAAAGCATTTGATAAATCAATAGCTGCATACCAGGTACCAGGAACTGTATTAATCTGCTTGAGTAAGGAAACCACATCTGGTACAGCAGCTGCAATTGGAGTCACTACTTGATTAAGTCTTCGATAAATTTTGGTTGCATTTTTTTCCCATCCTCTCATGTGCATATGCTTTACCAACAAGTCCAGACTGTCTGCTACCTCCTGCTCACTGGATCCAATCAGCATAACATCATCAATATAGTGGACCAGTGTGATACTTTGTGGAAGACTCAGGTGATCAAGATCCCTTCGAACCAAGTTATGGCACAATGCTGGAAAGTTAATATACCCTTGAGGCAGGACAGTAAAGGTATAATGTTGGCCTTCCCAGCTGAAAGCAAATTGCTTCTGGTAGTCCTTATGAACTGGTATCGAGAAGAAAGCATTTACTAAATCAATAGCTGCACACCCACTGGACCCACTGTCAGTCAGACTTTAGCCAAAACTCCATTTATCACCTGACCTCCATAAGCCCCTACTTTAACTGGAGGGCCACGATGCTTTTTAGAGTCCCAGGGAATCAGTGTCAACTCAGAACCAGTATCCAATAGGCTGTGGAAAGTCTGATTATTTCCTTTCCCTCAATGTACAGCTACTCTAGTAAAAAGCTGCAGGGCCCTATGGGGAAGGACAGGTGAGAGGTGAGCAGCATAACTCTTTGGTACTGTAACAAGGTCCTTCCTCAAGGGCACCCAGCCTTCCCTTCATTCAAGGGGTTCTGGGTCTGTAAACTGTCTCAAGTCTGGAAATTGGTTGACTGAGAAAGATTCTCTATTGCTATGATCCAATACTGACTTCCTGTCATTCATCCTAGAGCTTTTCTGCTCATACAGATCAAATAAAACTTAGTAGGTCTTATGTATGTGGTCCCTGGAAACACCATGATTGATTAGCCAGTACCACAGGTCCATTCTGAGTCATGGCATTGTAGGTATTGTTTTGCCTCTGCCACCCATTATGATAAGTACGCTCACCTTGTCTTTGGTAATTCAATACTGCCACCTGACCCCTGCTCCGAGGTCCTGTTACACCTAAGGAATCCATTGAGTTATCCAAATTTGAAAGGATATCCTTGTATTAGCCTGTCACGAGTGGAGTTATTAAGGCTTAGTTGAGCATCACCTCATTATGCGAGGAGCATAAATATTTCTAGAGCCCATGTCTTTCAATGCATTTATTTGGGGAATCATAAACAAATTTCACACATAACACAATGACAGATAAGAGTACCAGTCCTAGGGCCAATGCCTGAGTGACGTCGTCTCAGTCGGATGTGGTGACGGTAGTCTCAGCTCAGCTTGGTTGTCTTGTGGTCGAGGGTCGAGTCAGGTCCGGATGTTCGCGACATGAAGTTCCTCTTTTGTCTCACGGTCCAGAGACGGGATCAGTCAGAAGATGGGGCCCACAGCTGACGGGAGTTCAGCTCATATGTGCACCCCCGAATTGATTTTCCTCTGGGTTTTTATAGTCCTTATGCATGACTTGGCAAACATATGTTTATCAGTTTCTTACATCATTTGGCTAATCACACAGTTACACTCAGGTTGCTAGGTTACATTCTAGGGCTACTAAGTGATGCTCTTATCTTTAATGTACACACTTTGGATATGTTTACATACTTTTGCTAGAGTTCTTTTTTAATTCTTAGTTTCTTAATTCTATTACATTCAATACAATTCTTAATTCTTAATTCTTAATTCCCTATTCTAATACATTCAGTACACCTCCATAAGCCCCTACTTTAACTGGAGGGCCACAGTGCTTTTTTCCAGGCCTCTCGGAATCAGTGTCAACTCAGAACCACAGAAAGTCTGATTATTTCCTTTCCCCCAATGTACAGTTACTAAAGTAAAAGGCCACAGGTCCCTCTGGGGAAGGATGGGTGAGAGGAGAACATCATAACTCTTTGGTACTGTGACAAGGTCCTTCCTCAAGGGCACCCGGCCTTCCCTTCACTCAAGGGGTTCTGGGTCTGTAATTGTCTCAAGTCTGGAAATTGGTTGACTGAGAGGGATTCTCTATTGCTAAGATTCAATACTGACTTCCTGTCATTCGTCCTAGAGCTTTTCTGTTTATACAGATCAAATAAAAACTTAGTAGGCTTCTTATGTATGTGGTCCCTGGGAACACCATGATTGATTAGCCAGTACTACAGGTCCATTTGGGCCATGCCATTATAACTATTGTTTTGCCTTTGCCAGCCATTACAATAAGTATGCTCACCTTGTCTTTGGTAATTCAATACTGCCACCTGACCCCTACTCCGAAGTCCTGTTACACCTATTATATTTACATTTAATTTATGCAATTGAGCAGCAGCATCTCCGGCTGTAAGATTTGGCAAAAGGAAAAGAGCAAAAACAAAGCTCTTCAAACGTTCTGGTGTCTCTCTCAGTACTTTCCATCTTATAAAA